ATCTGTGGCTCTCTTCCAGTGGGTCTTTGTCCTGTCTTCCTCACCCCCCACCAGTCGTAGCAGGTGGCTACCCCTCGATGAGCCTGATCCTGCCATAGGTTTCTTTCTGTTAAAAGGGTGTTTTTCCTTGTCACTGTGGCCAAGTGCTTACTCATGGGGGGGGGGGGGGGGGGTGTCATCTGATTGAGTCAAAGTCAGCTTTATTGTCAAACACCATATGTACAGTCATACACAGGAATTTAAAACTGAAATGCTCCCATGGCCCTCATTGTACAGTAAAACAATATAGAGACGAAAATAAAATAACAATCTTAAATACAACACAATACAATCTTTTATAAACAACAGTGTCCAACACAATCCAAGTGTTCGTGGGCAAGAGTTTGTGTGCATGTGGGGTGGAGGAATCAGTGAAAAGGTGGCGATGCTACATGACTGGTTTGCCCTTGCTGTTCTTAGGCTCACCTCATCCCGTCTCTGAAGGCCACATTACATGTTTCCCCGTGTAGGAATTTTCACGTGTTTCTCCAGTTTGGGCAGTCTTTTGGTCTGCATGATTCAAATCGCCCACCAGGATGAGAAAAGCATCTGGGTGGGCCTTCTGCTGCTCACTGACATGCTGATACATTTCATTCAGTGCCTCACTCCAATTGTTGTTAATGGAGCAGGGAGGGATGTAAACAGCAACAAACAGTATGGCTGAAAATTCTCTCAGTAGATTAGATTAGATTAGATAGAACTTAATCTATCAGTAGGTAGAATGGTCTGCAATTGATGATCATAGTAGCAGAGGTGAACAGTGTTTCCAAGCCACAACAGGGTCGCAGCACCAGGCATCATCGATGTAAACACAGAGTTCCCCTCCATGAGCCTTACCCCCTACCCCATTCCAAAAGTGCATGAATGGCGCTTTTGGGAATGTTAACATGTGGAAACATGTTAAGCCATGTTTCCACATGTTAACATGGAGACCCAACACTCCCTCATTGACTTCGAAGTGGACCAAAGTAAGCGAGCCTAATCCAGCTTGCTGTCCAGGGGAGTGCACATTGGGACAGTTCAATGGTGGGAATAGCGGGTTTGTGTGGATTAGCCGCTAACCTACTCCGGATGCCTCCGCGCTTACCCCTCTTCTGTTTCCTCTCACACCGCCTGAGACATTTCCACTGTGGGCGAGATCTAGTAGCAAGGGTCGGTGATAAATGCCTCCGAAGCAGTCCGCAGTGCTCTAGTGTAATTTGTAGTTCTTCCGTGTATCGTGAATTTGCTTCTGTTGATTTTGAGCATGCACTCACGACTGTACCTTACAACAATATAAAGCACCCTGAGGTGACTGCTGTTGTGATTCAGTTCTTTATAAATACAACTGAATTGAATTGAACTGAATTAAATGTTTTTTAAAGCCCTTACGAATAAGAACTATTTTGCTCTAGAAGTACAGAAAGGACCACATAACATCTCTTTGTCTGGGACCATCTCCAGCATCTTTTTCCATCTTCATGCATCTGGTCTCCTTCTGTCATTGCACAGTTTCTTATGTCTGCTCCTTTATTCCAGCATCATCACATCAACACTGTTTCAGCTCGGTCTGTATTTTAATCCTAAATTTGAAACGAAGTCTCAAGCATTCTTGAGCCTCGTGTTAGTTTAGTACTTACTTATGTGAAACTAATAAACGTGATGTGTTTACTGGCTAAACTCCCACACTGACAGGTAATGTTTCCTGATAGCACTGTGTGCAAATACTTCATTAAATCCATGTAGTATTCGGAGTATTTAAATGCAGAAAGGAGATAAAGTTATCATTGAAAATCTGTTTATACATATACATTCAGATCTGTCGTATATAAACAGAAGAATGAGCACTAAAAGATCTGGGGGAGGACCGTGAGCGCGCCAGTAAATGGGACTAATTGAGGCTGCAGTGTGGTGCTGAATGTGGACACTGACCTTTGCGCTCCCCACCGGGATCTTCCGCGCCTCTCTCGGCCGCTCTGCTCGCTTCGAACGCGTTGAGGATGAGCTCGATGGCCGCCGACAGCCGCTCCACCAGCAGCTCCCGTAGCTCCGGCAGCTCGGCTCGGCTGCGTTCATGCAGCAGCCGGAAGATCTCCTGAGCGGCCGCCGCCATCCGCTGCTCGATGGTGGCCTTCAGCCTGCGGCTCTCGGACCGCTTTTTCGACATTTTGCAGCGAACAAAGAGCAGAATGTAAACAGGACGAGACACTTCCGGGATCGCCGGGCAAGCGTCACTGGAGGCGGACGCTCATTTCCTGCATGAACCGGAATGTGACTCTACAGCTGCTGTTATGCTACCAGCTAAAATCCGACAGAAACGTCCGACAGAGAAATAAGGTGTAAAATTATTCAGGTTTCAGTTTAAAGTGTCCAGCTTTCACTTTTCTTCCAGTGTCGTGTAAACGCTTCAAATGTCAATGCATCACGTGACACGAAATTTGTCAAAAACACCTCAATTTAAAATGTCTTCACTAATTCACAGAGATCTACAGCTTCAATAATAAAGCTTTAGGTAAATTGTCAATTAACAACGTCTCCTGTTAATTTCTGCATGTACCAGAACCATTAACAAGCAGATACTGAGTTTAAATATAGAGGTTAGTGAAGACACCATCCAACTTGTCGCATAGTGTTAACGTCTGTCGAACTGACCGTTAATCTTTAATACAATAAAATAAATCTTTAAAAAAGATTCTTAAAGAATCTTTAATAAAATAATTCTGACGTTTCACAGGCACATCATGACCAGATTTCAAAAATCAGAAGAGTCTGGAGCTGGATTTATAATAATAAAAACTGCAATATCGTATTGGTAGGAAGTATATGGGAACAGAAACCTCTGGACTCGTTTTTTATGCTTGGAGAGCTGACCATTATCTGCGAAGGACATTATGGGCTGGTGGAGTGGATATACTGTCCTTAGCACTGCTTTTTCGGGTTTACCTCTGACATGAGACAGAAAGCAGGTGATCTGAGAGGTCTGGATTTCTTATAATGTTCCCAATGATGCTGCATGATGCTCACACTATATGAATGTTAAAACTGCACCTTCATTCCTTCATTCAAAGCAGTGTTGGGGGGGGG